TCTGGTCATCCAAACTGCAGAAAATATTGCAAGCACTCTTTTGGGAGCTCAGACCTCATATTTTCTTTAAAAGACAATCTCTGGATTTTTCAAGACATGTTGACCCTCTGGTATTAATAAATTCATGGGCTTCTCCAATATAGATCCTTCCATTTTCTATTTCCTAGACATATACACATCACTCCATAAATCTATGTGTAAAACCCAATTTCAAATTTAAATGACCAGTAGGATATAAGAGGTCTTAGTATTTCTATGTTTTTACATCATTGCCACTAAACTTCATATTTTATTTATAATTTATTTCAAGCATTTCATTAACTGCCATAATTGTAATTAATATACTCCCTATTAATAGCATATCAATCACCCCATTTCTTTTAGTTGTCATTCCCTCTCACATAATTGTAATTAATATACTCCCTATTAATGTATCATGATGAGGCAACACAAATTATAAACATGAATATGAGCAAATGCAGCAAGTTTTAAGTAGGTAATTCTCGAAATAACGCAAATGTCATAAAAGCTACACATAATCTGAAGTTCTGAAGACATTAAAGGCATCAGTTGAGAGCTGCAGAACAACTTACCAACAGCTCCAGCCATGATCCCCAAGGCTTGATCAAGTAGAAGAAATGAATATTTTTAATTATTTAAAATTTTAAGATATACCCTCAAAAATAGGAGCTATGTATTATTGATCAGTGCAATTGACGAATAGACCAAAAGGTCCACCCAAAAGTGCAAACTAGAACGTGGCTTTATTGCAAGAAATTCGGTGGGAGTCCCCTGAAAAATAGAAACAGATTCGATGGACTACCACCGAAACAAGGTAACAATTTTGGTGGTAACCCACCGAAAGTATAGGTTCAATTCGGTGGACTACCACTGAAGAAATGTAATCATTTCGGTGGCAATCCACCGAAACTAGAATCCATTTTCGTAAAACCAGGTTCGAACTACCCAGAACCTTGAAATCGAAATCAATATCAGACTTTGGCTTTTCAAAAGTGAACTCAAATGTAGGCTTAATCAACACTTAGAAACGTAAATATATAAATCAAATTTGAAATCAAACCTTGAATAAGGATTTGTGAGAACTTGACCTTCAATGGCTTTCGGGTTTGCAGAGATGGAGATGGATGTGATGGTTCTGTTTCAGAGATGGTTCAGGTTTGCTGGAGGCAATGGCAAAGGGCTTCTTCGATGGTGAGCAAAGATCTGCGATGGCAAA